CAAATCAAATTCGTGTTCAGTATATACATATAATAGTAAAGCTGAGGCTCCCAGATCCGAATGGTATTCGGGATCCGAAATTCCAAATAGCATTCGGGAGCTCCTGAATGTCATTGGGGTCCGGGAGCCTCAGCTTTAGTAATATATATATATACATGGCTCCTAGACCCGAATGGCATTCAGGATCCGAATTTCGGAATTGCATTTGGAAGCTACCGAATGGCATTCAGGTCTGGGGGCCATATACATATATTACTAAAGCTGAGGCTCTCAGACCAGAATGCCATTCGGTAGCTTCCAAATGCAATTCCGAAATTCGGATCCTGAATACCATTCGGGTCTGGGAGCCTCAGCTTTAGTATCAATATCTGAATATTCGTAAACTCATCCGAAACTTACGAAAATTCGGATTTCGTCCGAATACGGAACCCGAACCGAATTGAATTTCAGATCCGAATAATGAATAACTAAATATCCGGACCGAATGTTTCCGCAGCTTGCATGTCTAACAGAATGGTTCTATTTAAATATGAATCTATGAAGGACTCGTTCACACAGGCGGCTGATTTTATCACTCCTCTGAGTGCGCGGTTAATCATTTTTTAGAGGCGGTTGAGTGGCGGTTTGCCGAAGTACCGCCTCCTGAACGCCTGTTCTCGTTTATCAGTCCCCTTGGGATTTAACACTGAAATACCACAACGCAACCAATGAACGCGTTTGATAAGTGCTGCCAACCATGACATGCCGAGTTAAATTTGCCACCCCATCGCAGCAATGTATACCAAGCTTAGCGGTTGCCATTGTGCTTTGTAGGCAGGTGGTCAGGGGGCAGTAGAAATGCGGCTCAACCGCCTATTTTTATCGCCCCTTTGCCGTCCGTGTGAACTTAGCCTTAGGGCGGTGTTAGGTGGATTGGAAATACGTCATATAGAACCAATCACGATTTAAAAAATTCAGTTTTAGTGCCTGACATCAAGCTAATGTCCAGCTGTCTCCTGCCCCCTGAGTGCGCATAACAGCATCAAATAACAGTTCTTTATAGGGATGCACCGACACAGATACTCGCCCAAATGCTCCGATACCTAGCCCAATACTTGAGATTCCGGTATCAGGAAACTGGACAGCGAGTCATTACATGCTGCCTGGATTCCTGATTGGCACTTGGTGACGAGGGAGCATGGAGCCGGCTTACCGGGCCAATCAGGAAGCCGGTCAGCGTGTAATGACTTGCTGCCGGCTTCTTGACTGGTCAGGAAGCTGGCCAATCAGGAAGCCGGATGCCATGTAATGACGCGGCGCCCATCTTTCTGATTGGTCGGGAAGCCGGCTTCATGCTCCTTCGATACCCCGTGACGAGCGAGAATAGAGCCAGCTTCCCGGGTCAATTAGGAAGCCGGGCGCTGCGTCATTACACTGCGCCGGCTTCCTGATTGGCCAGAAAGCCGGCTCCATGCTTTCTTGTCACCTAGTGGCGAGAAGCATGGAGACGGCTTCCCTGCTAATCAGGAAGCCGGGTGGCGACTCATTACACGCCGCCTGGCTTCCTTAATGGGACTTCCGGTATCGATATCGGCGAGTACCGGAAAAAATGTATTGGTACTCTATACTGAAAAAACGTTATCGGTGCGCCCCCAGTAACTTCTTTACATTCCCATTGACTGTTATTTAAGGCTGGTATGCTAACTCTGGACCTGGGAGTCAGCAAGAGGTCAGGCAGCTAGAAGAGCAGGTCGCAACGAATATCTTCACAGTTCTGACTCTCAGCTATGAAAGACGGAACTCAGACACACAAGCAGAGCTAAATACAGGGGGGCGAGTGTAAATCTTCCATAAGCAAAGCCGCAGAAGGTAAAGGACCTAAAACTACGTACTCATGATTTTGGGTTCTATTGTGACGGGTTCTCTTCAAATATTTCAATTATAACATATAAAATGGTAACTCCAAAAAAATCAAGAATGCTCGAGTCAAGCAGCTTCAGTGGTCATGGTGCACCCGCCAATTCCTTGCCTCGTACAATATGGCCGCTTTGTGTGGCTCTTCTGAGGCTGCAAATGTTTGCCAAATCAGTCTCAGCCCAGCGGCCCGAAACACACAAGCTCTTCCCTATAATGAGGCAGTATCTCTATACGTGGGGGGCAGAAGGTAGAGCGGCATGGCTGCTCTGCTGTACAATGTCCCAGGTTGCTGAGAGTCAAGCGGGGAGATGTATAAGGGCCAGTAAAGGATGGACACCGGCACTCCAAAGCAAGTTCAGTACATGTTTATTAACATACTTGTTGCAAGTGGAACACTCTAAACAAGGTTTCGGGGTCCCACAGAATCCCCTTCATCAGGCAAACAAGTGATAACAACATCACTTGTTTACCTGATGAAGGCAAGAATATATTCTTGTGTGTGCCTGGCCTTAAAGGAGAACTATGAGGGGGGTGCTTTTCACTCACCTCATAGTTCTAGCCGACCTGTGACAGGCTCATTGTCACAGGTCGGCTAGAACTATGAGGGGAGTGAAAAGCACCCCCCTCATAGTTCTCCTTTAAGCAAGCCGTACACTATACAATCAGATTGTATAGTGTACGGCTTGCTTAAAGGAGAACTATGAGGGGGGGGCTTTTCACTCACCTCATAGTTCTAGCCGACCTGTGACAGGCTCATTGTCACAGGTCGGCTAGAACTATGAGGGGAGTGAAAAGCACCCCCCTCATAGTTCTCCTTTAAGCAAGCCGTACACTATACAATCAGATTGTATAGTGTACGGCTTGCTTAAAGGAGAACTATGGGGAAAAGACTTAACCCCATAGTTCTCCTTTAAGCAAGCCGTACACTATACAATCTGATTGTACAATCTCGTTTAGCTTTGCCAAAGCTGTGTACTATGAGGACATTTCTAACCAATTCATTCAATTTGTATCAAGCCTTGCATTACGTGGTTAATGGCGGATCTTACGGGGATTGTACAATCAAATCATATGGTGTATGTTCAGCTTAGGGGTGCTCTTAGATATAATTCCCAAGGGGAGGAAATGATTGGGCAGCTTACCTACCACCAACCTTTCCCTAGTGCTACTGTCTTCCCCTTGTCCCCCACCTACAACAAGAATGCTGGTGTGACCAGGCTATCTGTGCATGTGTGACCGCTGTGGTCTATGGCCATCTTTAGGCTGCATGATTAGTTTGCCCGACCACCCATCCACGCACACCATGAGAGCTGCAGACCGGGACTTTGGGGTCTATTTATAAGACATTCACAGGGATGTAACTGTGTAAATTCACTCTGTGTGAATATATGCCAAAACTAACGTTCCTAATTTTATTCTTTACAAGTGGAATGCATTTTCGACTGTTTTTATGTAATATTGAACTATGGCCACTAGATGGAGCTGTAGGAGCATAAGGAATAAGTATTTATTTGCTGTGCTCATCAGGGCCATCTAGTAGCCATAATGAGATATTACATGATAAAAAAACAATCGAAAGATAAAGGAGCATTGGGAATAAGTATTTATGTTCTAAATATGCTCCTCAGCTCCATCTAGTGGCCATAAGTAATCAATGTTCTATGCTCCTCAGCTCCATCTAGTGGCCATAAGTAATTAATGTTCTATGCTCCGCAGCTCCATGTAGTGGCCATAATGAGATATTACATGATAAAAAACATTCTAAAGCTAAAAGAGAATTGGGAATAAGTATTTTATATGCTCCTCAGCACCATCTAGTGGCCATAGGTAATTATGTTATATGCTCCTCGGCTCCATCTAGTGGCCATAATGAGATATTACATGACATAAAACATTGGAAAGCTTAAAGTGACATTAAACCCTCAGATTTTTTTAACATAAAACAATACTGTAATGTGTGCCTTACTGTAATCCATGGTTGTTTCCCTTCTTTTTGCTGCTCTTCCTTTTAAATCCTCATGTCTTCTCGTGATGGGGCAGAACTTCTGTTTTGCAGCAGACTGCCTTGTCTCTGAGATGGATACATGGTGTCTGTGTGAAGGTTCACAACCTGAGCCAGCACTACAGGAAGAGGCAGTCAGCTGCAAAGGGAAGTTCTCCCCAAGCATGAGAAGATATGAGGATTTAAAAGGAAGAGCAGCAAAGAGAAGGGAAACAACCATGGATTACAGTAAGGCACACATTACAGTATTGGTTTATGTTAAAGAATCTGAGGGTTTAATGTCACTTTAAGGAGCATTGGGAATAAGTATTTTTTTTCCGTGGTCCTCAGCATCATCTAGTGGCCATAGGTATTTATTTTCTATGCTCCTCATCGCCATCTAGTGGCCATAGATATTTATTTTCTATGCTCCTCACCGCCATCTAGTGGCCATAAGTAATCAATGTTCTATGCTCCTCAGATCCATCTAGTGGCCGTAATGAGATATTACATTACAAAAACATTTGAAAGCTAAAAGAGCATTGGGAATAAGTATCTATTTTCTATGCTCCTCAGCGCCATCTAGTGGCCATAGGTATTTATGTTCTATGCTCCTCAGCTCCATCTAGTGGCCATAATGAGATATTACATGACAAAAAAACATTTGAAAACACATTTTCTTGTTAACAAACAACTAAAGAATGTTCATTGTGCCGTATATCCACACAGAACGAATGTTCACAGATATACATAGGGCGAAGGGCCCCGCGCAAAGCTTAGATATAGACCCCTGTGTGTCAGTCAGCTGTGCACATGTCATTTTAGCAGCCAGTGCAGGCACTCCCACTATCAGCGAGACTTGAAATTTCAGCTGGTTTGCAGTGAAAAAAACAAATTTGATCAAAAAAAAAAAAAAAAAGATTATAGGCAATTATACATTTGCACAGTTTAAAAATAAGCTTAGCAATTTTTTTTTTTTAAATAAACATATATATGGACAATTCTCTCTCTCTATATATAGGTAATAAATGCAGTTTTCCCCCCTGTGCCGGAGTGCTTCTTTAACATGCCCGGGAAGTTTCCCCGAAGCCTTGTAGTGAACGTTGAGGAATCAGCGATATTATACAATCATGAATAATACATTTTATAAATCACTCTTTAAAGGAGTCAGCTTACATTACAAAAATACTTTTCTATATGAACGCGCGTTATTGCCTTAAGACGATTTGTCGAATCTTCGGAGGGAAGTGCGCGCGGTGAACCTCGCGGCCATTGTCCCTCATTTTGTGCTGATCACAGTTAATTTCTTCCCAGTTTTCCCCGGGGAGAGCTCTTCTTGCCAAGCGGCACAGCGTCGGAGGATCTGGACGTAGGGGTGGTAGGGGGTGGATAAGCTGGAGGAGATCCATCCTAAGGCAACACGGAGAACAGTCTAACGGTCCGAGGACCTTTCGGCTGGTGCAGTTAGGACTTGGAGAGCCTCTTGGCCACGTCCGCGTAGGCTAGCTCTGTCTCTTTGTCCGCGGCGCAGGTGTTGGTGAACTCGTCTCTGGCGTAGGCGTTCTTCAGGTATCTCCACACGCCGGACATCTCTGCCGGAATTTCGTAGTTGCGATACTTCTTTGCAACAATCTAAAGGAGAATGATATGTTATGTATCTCTCCTAGAAATGAAACAGTCAACAACCACCGTCCTTAAAGTCCATCTTGTGGCAAACATAAAAGTAAGTGCTCACTTTTGTGTAGAGATTGAAGTAAAGCAGATTTACTTGCCTGGTCCTTACTCCCCGGTGGTCAGCGCTCTCCCCGCCATACCTCTGTTCTGGCTGTGGGATGTCCCTCGGAGTCCTTGAGTCTAGTGCAGGTCTGTGGAACCTGCACTAGATGTTATGACATCAGCGGTCCTTAGACCACCAGAGGCAAGGGGAGAAGAAGCTTTGGGGACCGATCTACCAGCCCGGAGTACCTGTGATTAGGGATGCACCGATACCGTTTTTTTGGTATTGAGTACCGATATTTTTTTCCCGATACCGGAAGTCCCAATAAGGAAGCCAGGCGGCATGTAATGACTCGCCACCCGGCTTCCCGATTAGCAGGGAAGCCGTCTCCACGCTCCCTCATCAACAGGTGACGAGGGAGCATGGAGACGGCTTTCTGGCCAATCAGAAAGCCGTGCGCCGTTTTATGACACATTGCCTGGCTTCCTGATTGGTCAAGAAGCTGGCCAATCAGGAAGCCGGGCAACGCGTCATTACACGGCGCGCGACCTCCTGATTAGCTGGAAAGCCGGCTCCATGCTCCCTCGTCACCAGGTGAGGAGAGGGCATGAACCCGGGTTTCTGGCCAATCAGAGAGCCGGGGGGGCGTGTAATGACACGTTGCCCAAATTCCTGATTGGCCGGGAAGCCAGTGACGAGGGAGCACGGAGACGGCTTCCCGGCCAATCAGGAAGCCGGGCAGCGTGTAATGACATGCTGCCCGGCTTCCTGATACCGGAAGCTCAGGCATTGGAGCATTTGGGCAAGTACAAGTACGAGCCCAAATACTTGGCATCGGCACCGATACCAGTATCCGTATCGGTGCATCCTTACTTGTGATGATATAAATGGTGGGGTATGTTCCCGACACTCATCAGACCAGAAGAAGTGGGTCGGAAAATCTTCAAAACATCTTAAACGTTAGAATAAGTCCAGCTAACTGACTTAGGATACTACTAGCTATAGCTCTAAGCAGAGCAGTGACAGGGGACAGTAAACCCAATGGAACAAAGCACATCCATCCAAGCTGGAGATATGGTGAGAGCGAATCCCTTTACTACCCCACGCCATGTTATACTTTGTTTCCTGAAGATCTTGGTTGGACTTACTTTGACCACATGAAGCTTGGGCAGGAGATTACAGTCCGCGAGTGTCAACTCGTCCCCGTCCAGAAACTTCCGTCTGGAGACCTTTTCTTCTTCTCGGCTGTTTGCATCGATCTCCTCGGTGAGCGGTGTGTTGAGGTAATCGTCCAGCTTCTTCAGGGCTTTTGTCAAGCCTTTCTCTAGAACTACGGGGACAGAAAACAAGCCAGATTGAAGTTTTTTTGTATTTATCAGACGGCCTGCAGACAAAGTTTTAGAAAATGACCCTTGAAAGGATGCGTTCCATCACTGGCATCCCGAACATGCAACTTGCACCTCCATAAACATAACAGGCAACACCTGCTTTACCATCAGGTATGTCTACACAAGGGCAAGCTTCATACATATGTAATGTCAGGGCCAGCTTGTTCATTGTCAGCCATTATTCCAGAACAATTTCAGACAAACATCTTAAAGAATCCAAACCAGCCAATGGAATTTGGATTTAGTTTATGACGTCTGGAATGATCATTCACAAAACAAAGACCTTCACAAGGTGAAATGATTGTGTCAACATGATTGGCCTCCACTGATTTTTATCCTTATCTGTCCATAGGCACCTTTACTTGTATTGCTCTACAGCTGACCAGAAGTGAGATTTTGCTCCAAGTAACTAAAAGCTGGACCAGGGGCAGAGATTTCAGGGTCTTATAATGAAGAAAATCACATAGCTATTCATCCAGAGAAACTGCAGATACATTCCTTCTGTGTGAATCTGGAGAGAGTCCAGAGAAGGGCAACTAAACTAATGAAGGGCTGGAGGACCAAAGCTATGAGACGAGGTTACAATGAGACGCTGGAAGTGAGGAGACTAAGGGGGGACATGATTCTGATGTACAAGATGTTCAATGGTGATAGCAACATCAGCAATAAACTCCATAACAAGGACTAGAGGCCACCACCTAAAACTGGTGGAGAAAAGATTGAACCACAAGGGGCGTAGGGGATTCTTCTGAGTTAGAGCGGTTAAAATCTGGAACTGGCTGCCACAAGTAGTGGTATCAGCTGAGAGTATTGAATCATTCAAAAAGCATTTAGACTTTCCTCAGAGACCGTAACATACAGGGGTACAGGTACTCTTAAAAACAAGGTCACAATGGGACTCGTGTACACACATACACATGCAGAATCACATACATACACGCAATAGGTTGAACTTGATGGACCTGTGTCTTTATTCAACCTCAAATACTATGTAGCTATGTAACTTGCTGTTGTGAGAATGGGAAATTGGGCTATTTTCTCTTCTTGTCGACTGCTCTTCAAATATTATGGGCATTATTGAATAAGGAAAATACTGCTGTTCTACTCACAGCTCATGGTCGCCAGTAATGGTGTTGGTAACTCAACCCATGGGGGTGTGTGTATAAACAATCTGCAGAGCTATTTGCCCTGCTGTTCCTGTAATACCATTTTATGGCCACTAGATGGAGCTGAGGATCACAGGAAAACAGTACAGCTTAGTAACAAGAGATGCAAAGTAACAATTCTGGAGAACACGGGAGAGAATGCGCAGATGAATGTCACCATTGCTACTACTACAGGGAAGCCCACAGAAGCAATGGTTACATTTATTTGCTAATTACCTCCAGTGTTCTCTAGAATTATTACATTGTGACTCTTGATACTGCCTATAATCCGCAGCTGGACATAATGAGGCATTTTCCAATTTGGTTGCAGATTTTTCACCAAGATCTTGTAGTGATGACGGGAGAGTCGGAGCACTGTGTAAAGTCTTCTCCAGCACATCCCAGAGATTCTCAATGGGGTTAGGCCTCATTCACACAGCTTAGAGCCGGCCGGTACAGATCCGTGAGGTGTGCACGGCCGTATCGGCCCGTTCCTGGGAGGGACAGGTGTTGCATGTGATTGTACGCAGCAGCCTGTTCTTCCCTATGGGAGGACGCGGGCTGTACGCTCACCCGAGCTGCACATCCATGTCCGTGCTCCATCCTGTCTGCATCCGAGTACAGACACCCGCACAGATGTGCATCTCAGGTGAGTGTACGGCCGCGTACTCCCAGAGAGGAGGAGGGGGGCTGCGTACTAATCACACGCAGCCCCTGTCCTTCCCGGGAGCTGCCCAATACGGCCGTGCATGCCGCACTAAGCAGTGTGAATGAGGCCTGAAGGTCTGGACTCTGTGGTGGCCAATCCATGTGTGACAATGATGTCTCATGCTCCCTGAATCACTCTTTCACAATCTGAGAACGATGAATCCTTGTATTTTCATCCTGGAATATGCCCAATGTGCCATCAGGGAAGAAAACATAGATTGATGGAAAAACCTGATCATTCAGTATATTCAGGTAGGTAGCTGTCCTCGTTTTTTGGGGACATAACATTGCTGAACCTAGACCTATTATCCAATGGAAGGCTCTGACCTTTCTCCTTAGCTAAATCCAGGTGGTTTCGTTTGTTTGGGGACAGGCAGTGTATATTGTGGCTAATAAGTCCTTAGATGTGGTGGCTGCATTTGTTTTCCTTTTTTAAAGTAAAATGCATTTTCTACAAATACTGTACAGAAAAATACAAGTTGGCCCTGTCAGAAATCCTGGGTCCTTATAACTTCCTGTGTACTGAACTGCCATCTCAAATAATATTATCAGCTTTTTTGGATGTCTTCTGTATGTAAGGGTGAGGTGTTTGTGGAACAGATCAGGAGTGTAGCTTAGGGTGACAATTCTGCTTCTCCATTGATAGTAGCGAGTGAGTGTTGTCACCCTAAGACAGGAAGTGTGTTACTGACAGAACCATCAATCGAAAATAAAGGTAAAAATGCCCTGAAAAGGAAAACAAATGCAGCCAACACATCTAAAGGCCGGTAAGCTGAAATATACAACTTTTTGGGGGGAGTTTTGATACACTTTAACTTGTATCCTTCATGTGTCCTAACTACTTTATCCCATCCCCATAACGTGCCTAGAATTTACCGTGGACGGGGTCTACGTATGAAAAGCTCATTGATTTGACCTCATTCATGAACCCTCTCTAATATTCCCGGGTCCATTTCACACATCAGCTCTCGGGCCGATCTCTATCATGTATATTAATAGGCTGGGATTAGCATGGAGTGGAGGCGCGCTTTATTTACAAGCGATTAATTTACAGCCACCCGGAAACGTGTTGATGAAAGCGTCGGTTATGCGGCGATAATTACGCCGAGTGGACAAAGTGAGCACTGTGCCTTCACACGTGCGTACACAGGGGATACCTATAATTATCTGTAATTAGGTGCAGGGGGGAAAAAATCCCGAAGCCGCACACATTTTTCACGTCTCCTCGCGCAGGTCAGCAATCATCCGCACGTCGGTGCTTAGGCGTACTTAGCAAGAGCTGCAGACGGGCCTTAAAGCAAACAACAAGCTACAGGCACCTCCCGGGCACGGAGGACTAAAACAACATGTAGTACATGTTGGCGAGGGGGAAACTGACTTCCTTCCACCCTGCGTTACATTTGAGAGAAGAATTATATTATTCAGGAATATCAGCCAGAACAAGTCCACGTTCACCCCCACCCAAATGTCCTACCGGTGACATTGGGGCTATGGGGTCTTTGTATCATCACAAACACCTAATAGTCTTTCCTCCGGCTAAGCCTGCCATACAAGGCTTAGATTTCTGTCAAATCGGCTTATTTGAGCCATCGGTGGCCTTGTCAGCACCACCCAACTCCACAACAGCCAATTGATCAAACTGAAAATTGTGGAAAATTGTTGACCCAATCAAATGAGGTCATTGTTCAGGTATTTAGAATACAATAGCCAGCAGGGTAGATTCCTCTCCATCTGCCCGGTGGTGTCAATGGGGAATCTGAGTGATCTAGGCGTGGATGGCGAGCCTAGTGGACAAGTGTTCCCATGAGTACAAGATGAGGCAGTAGGTAAAACAGACATTGTAAAGGAACTGTACACACAAAACTGCACGGAGTTCCTGAGTCTGCTAGCTCTGACCACTATGAGGTGTTCCCACTCTACCTGTTGGATTTGGACTTATTTTACATTATGGAGGATGCAACAGGAGTAGCTGAACCCACAAAGGCTGGTGGGCAGTGGGCACACCATAAACTACCTGGTGGACAGAGCCAGGAAATATTGCAAGGACATCTTCCTATGACTTCTGCAATCAGCCGGATACGACCGGTATCCATAAAATCCAAATTTATTGTAGTAAATTCCATACAGGGGCAACCGGAGGCCAGGTGCCACCCGGAGCGGATAACGGGTGGCACCCCATCGTGACGTAATCGCGCATGTGCGGCCATCTTATTGATACCTTCCGGCAGCCATCTTGGTTATGGACGCCGGCAGAGAGAGGAGTGGACGTTCACCTGGCAGGATGAGGTATTCCGCCGGATCTCCTCCTCTCTCCTGATACTGTCAGGCTCTCGGTCCATGTCCGAGTGCTCGACTTTTCAGAGGGGGCGGCACCAAAATGACTGTCAGTCCTCACCCCTCTAATGGTGTCACCCGGGTGCGGACCGCACCCCCTTTGTGACGTCACTGATCCCATACAGGATCCATGATATAACATGTACAGCATGTACACCACCATAGGATCTCTCCCACTCCAGCGCCTCTCACGTGTTTCTCCACCTGGGCTTAATCATATGATTGATATGATTGTAGAAGTATCCTTTGAGGAGTGGGAAGATACTGTAGCCTGCACCTGTTGCGTACACTGCCGTGCAGTCGGAGGTGGAATGAAGCAGTGAGGTGAGTCCTGGCGTTGCCTCAGGTGGCATTTCTCTGGGTCACGCTGCCCCCTTTTCGGCCAGAATGTACCAGGTTGCTCAGAGCTCTTAGCGTCCCGCCCAGCTCCTGGCAACCGGTGACGTCATTGAGCTAGGTGGGATACCGCTACAGTTAATGTGCATCACCAGCACCCACCCCTTCAAGCACACTACCCAAATCGAAAATAAAGGTAAAAATGCCCTGAAAAGGAAAACAAATGCAGCCAACACATCTAAAGGCCGGTAAGCTGAAATATACAACTTTTTGGGGGGAGTTTTGATACACTTTAACTTGTATCCTTCATGTGTCCTAACTACTTTATCCCATCCCCATAACGTGCCTAGAATTTACCGTGGACGGGGTCTACGTATGAAAAGCTCATTGATTTGACCTCATTCATGAACCCTCTCTAA